GACTATTAGTTGTGGGCACTGGCCTTACGCGGCACTCTACCGCGCAGTCCCTGCACCGTGCACCTCTTGCCGGTACGCTGTTACCGCGATGTGCGGGCAGCGCACACCCGACCAACTCCCGTCGGCCGTCCGGCGTTTCCTTCCTACAACCTCAACATAAAACAACTTCTTCTGACTCAACATGAATATAATTATAAAAATGACTTGAAAACGTAACTTTTGCACGATCAACATGAAAGGGGCCGTGGCGAGCGCGCCGTGCGCCGCCGACGGCTATACGCCGTCTCCCGACCAAAACACCTTCTCCCCCGGCAACTCCTGAACAAATAAACATGAACATTATCTCGAGGCAATTTAAGACATAACTGCACGGAAAGACATGATCATTGCTGAAGGTAACAGAACGTGACCCGAGGCTGCCCGTGGCTACGCGCGATAAGCGCTAGCGACGGCTCGAGCCACTTCACCGATAAAACGTTGTTTTGCCTCGACTAACATGAACCAACTGGACATGAAATGATCTAAACTGAACAAATAAACATGAATTGTACGAGAGTTGCCGGGTAAAACAAAAAGTTATTCGATCACGATTTACTTTAAGCATAATCGGACTTTAGCACGGCTTTACTAGAAATTCTCGAACATGATTCGAACACTTAACCTTATTATGACCTTACTAACATAATTATAAGATGAGGATAACGATACCTTCTTAGATGCTCGTCGGAATTTATAAACCAATCGCGACCTCTGCTAGTACTCGCGTGCGCCCGTGTGTATGCTTCGATCCTTGCCGTGCGTTACTTCGGTATGTGCCGTGCGATGAGGAGTATATAAAGCTTAAGATGACAAGCTGAGTTACTTGCTAATATTTGAAGGTAATATGCTGAATATGGCTTATAGGAAAGTGAGGAAAAATTTCGTCCAAGCACCTCCTTTTATATTAGGGCCGAGGGGATGGTGGTGACGTCTAGGAGACGTGGCCTCCTATCATGCTCACACTTGCTTGCTAAGGAAAATAATTTAGCATGACTAATCCTCACACATTAAGTCCCCTAATAACACGTGTGATGGCTTAATGGATGGAAGGAAACTAATTCCTTAAGTCTTAGGAAAATTGGGAAAGTTTGGAACATGTACATACCTATAGCTCACGGCATTTAGGAAATTGATTGGAAAACAATTCCAAATCATGCACGGCTTTAAGCCCTAGTAATATGATTAATATTTGTTAATCACTTAATTTATGTTTAATCATTTAATTAAACATATTGCTTAATTATCAAAATTATTCCGAACGTAAACGGTACGTCGAAAATAAATTTCGGTAATCTCAACTGAAAATAATCAATTCCAAAAATAATAATCGATAACGTTATTATACCGGAACTAGAATATAATTTATACCGATAAAATATCGGGATATTACAATCCTCCCTCCTTACAAAATTTCCGTCCTTGGAAATTCAAAACATAACTGATAATACATTAGTTATGTACATAGGATAAAGAAATATGTACATCAAAACTGAAAATCTGGGAAACGAGCGCGAATATCGGACTCCTCCTCCTAAGTAGCTCCGTGGCGATCCCACTGAATACGCACGAGGGGAATATCTCGCTTCCGGAGCCGACGAATCTGACGGTCTAGTACAGCCTCCGGTCGCTCCTCGTACGAAAGGTCTGGCTGAACCTGAATATCCGCGAGAGGAATGACATGATCGGGGTCGCACACGTACTTACGCAACATAGATGCGTGGAAAACATTATGAATGCCTGATAACTCGGGAGGTAGGGCTAATCGATATGCGACCTCGCCTACTCGCGCAAGAACCTCGAACGGACCGATGAAACGAGGGTGCAGCTTCCCTCTCTTTCCGAATTGCACTACTCCATGAATCGGATGAACCCTGAGAAAGGCTGGCTCGCCAACCTCGAACTGAATGTCTCGTCGATGATGATCGGCGGAAGATTTCTGTCGACTCTGGGCTGTCCGGAGTCTCTGGCGGATCAACTCGACCTGCTCCACTGTCTCCTCGATCATCGTAGGACCGAGTACTCGCCGCTCTCCAACATCGTCCCAATAGAGAGGGGAACGACACTTGTGGCCATAAAGTGCCTCGTAAGGAGCCATCTGAATAGAAGAATGATAGCTGTTGTTATACGCAAACTCGGCGTACGGCAACAACGACTCCCACTTAGCACCCCTGTCAACAACCAAAGCGCGAAGCATATCCTCAAGCGTCTGAATAGTCCGTTCTGACAAACCGTCTGTCTCCGGATGGTAGGCTGAACTGAACTCTAGCTTCGTGCCCATCGCCTCATGTAACCTGTGCCAGAATCAACTGACGAATCTGGGATCTCTGTCTGATACAATAGTGACGGGCACTCCGTGGAGTCGGATGATCCCACGGGTATATATCTCAGCCAACTTGTCCAGAGACATCTTCATCGAAACGGGTAAGAAATGCGCGACCTTAGTCAATCTGTCGACCACGACTCAGATAGCGTCGTGATGTTCAGACGACCTCGGCAATCCCGTAACGAAATCCATCGTGACTTCCTCCCACTTCCACCTCAGAATCGGCAGTGGCTGCAGGAGGCCGATTGGACTCTGATGTTCGGCTTTGACTTGCTGACAGGTAAGACATCTCCTGACGAACTCGGCGACGTCCTTCTTCATACCTCGCCACCAGAACGACCCTTTCAGGTCGTGATACATCTTCGTGCTCCCGTGATGGGCCAGATAGGGTGCGGTATGAGCCTCTGATAAAATCTCCTTCCGCAACGCCTCGACCTTCGGGACCACGATCCTGCCTCTGAACTCTAAGGCACCATCGGCACCTAACTGAAAACCCTCGACGCCTCCGGCGCGAACCTTGGCCTCCATGACACAAACAAACTCATCAGAAGTCTGCTCTCGCCGGATTCTCTCTCTCAGCGTCGGCTGAAGCTGCATGGCGCTGACACTGGCACTGGTAATCCCCGTAACGGCTATGGGAAGTGTATCGATTGCCTGAAGCTGCATCCGGGCAAACTCATGAATCAACGGACTCTGCTGCGTAATGACGTACATCAAATCACCCTTCACCTTTCGGCTAAGGGCGTCCGCGATGACGTTCGCCTTTCCCGGATGATACTGAATGGAGCAGTCGTAATCCTTAACAAGTTCGAGCCAACGGCGCTGTCTCATATTAAGCTCCTCTTGAGTAAAGATATACTGCAGGCTCTTATGATCTGTGAAAATCTCGCAACGTCCGCCGTAAAGATAATGTCGCCAGATCTTGAGAGCATGTACGACTGCTGCTAACTCCAAGTCGTGCGTAGGATAGTTCTGCTCATGAGGCTTAAGCTGTCGTGAAGCATACGTGAAGACCTGGCCGTCCTGCATAAGGACACATCCCAAGCCCTGTCTCGAAGCATCACTGAAGATAGTGAAACTCCGAGAAGGATCGGGAATAGTCAACACCGGTGCTGAAGTTAACCTATTTTTGAGCTCCTGAATGCTCGCCTCACAACGATCAGTCCACTCGAATTTCATAGATTTCCTCATCAGCTGGGAAAGAGGGAGGGCGATCTTGGAAAAACCCTCGATGAACCTGCGATAGTAACCAGCTAAACCGAGAAAACTGCGAACCTCGGACGGACTCCTCGGTGTCGACCAGTTCTGAACGGCTGAGACCTTTGAAGGATCCACCTCGATACCTGCCTGAGTAATCACATGACCCAGAAAGGATACTCGCTGGAGCCAGAACTCGCATTTGGAGAATTTTGCGTACAACTTTTCTCGTCTGGGGGTTTCGAGAACCACCCTCAGATGCTCCTCGTGCTCCTTCTGGCTCTTCGAGTAAATAAGAATATCTTCGATAAAGACAATAACAAACTGATCGAGGTAGGGATGGAAAATACGGTTCATGAGGTCCATGAAAATAGCTGGCGCATTGCTGAGACCGAAAGGCATGACGACGAACTCGTAATGGCCGTAACGAGTCCTGAAAGCGGTCTTAGCGATATCTGACTCCTTAATCTTCAGCTGGTGGTAGCCTGATCGTAAGTCAATCTTTAAGAACACACAGGCTCCCCTCAGCTGATCAAATAAGTCGTCGATCCTGGGAAGCGGGTACTTGTTCTTGATCGTCAACCGGTTATGATCCCGGTAGTCGATACACATACGCATGGATCCGTCCTTCTTCTTAACAAAGAGAACGGGTGCTCCCCACGGTGACACGCTCGGTCGGATGAAACCGAGTCGTAACAGCTCCTGAATCTGAGTCTTAAGCTCCTGCAACTCCTTAGGCGCCATACGGTACGGGGCTTTGGATACTGGACCGGCCCCTGGAATAAGATCGATAGAAAACTCAACCTGACGGTTAGGCGGTCCTCCTGGAAGCTCGTCTGGGAACACGTCCACAAACTCGCGAACGATTGGAACATCATGGGGTGTTCGCGCTTTCTGAGAATCGTCGACAAGGCTCACAAGATAACCCTGACAGTTGCCTCGTCGCAATAACTTAGTGGCTTTCACCATCGAAACAACGTGAGGCAGTGAACGATTCCTGGAACTGAAGAAAGTGATCGATTCGTCTCCCGGAAGATAGAGAGTGATCTCCCGGTCATGACACCTGATGTCTGCATGATAGAAGGATAGCCAATCCATTCCGAGAATAAGATCGAAGTCCCTCATCTCGAGAACAAACGCGTCGGCAGTCAATACTCGGCCACCGATGGAAAGGCTAAGATCTGAGGCTTTAGCTGAGGTCACTATCTTTCGTCCCGAGGCTAAACTCACCTCGAGAGGATCGACAGCGGTAACGGCGTGAACTCCGATGGCATCGAGACATCGTCGTGAAATGAAAGTATGTGTCGCTCCAGTATCGAATAAAGCAAACACTGGAATATCATTGAGAATAACCATCCCTGACATAGTACCTGGCTGCTGTGCTGCCTCGGCCTTATCAACCGCGTAAACCCTGGCCTGCTGTCTGCCCCTCTGCTGCTACTGCTGTTGCTGAGGCGGCCTCTGTGCCTGCTGACGTGGCTGCTGCTGCTGAGGCTGCTGAGGCTGCTGCTGGAGTCTCTTCGGACAGCGGCTCGCAAAGTGTCCAGGCTCGTGGCAGTAATAGCAGATGTCCTGTCCTACATGGCACTCTCCCCGATGAAGTCGACCACAAGTCGGGCACGGTGGAATTGGCTGCTGTCTCTGTCGGGTCCTCCGGTCAGTCTGTGCACCCTTCCCCTTCCTCTTCTTCTCCTTTGCCTGCTGAGGGGCTGGTGGAGCTGGTAGAGCTGCAAATGGCTGAACTGGGGCGGATGATTGGGCACGATCACGAACTGCCTCCCTCCTGATGCTATCGTCCACCTCCTGGGCAATAGAAACTGCACGAGCGTAGGTCTGAGTCCTGTGTCCCACGATGTTGTGACGGACTGCTGGGAAAAGCCCGTCGATGAACCGCTGCGCTCTCTGATCCTCCGTGCGAACCAGATCCGGTACGAAAGCTGCAAGTCTAGTGAACTCTCGTTCGTACTCATCAACAGTACGAGTGCCATGCTGAAGCGCTAAGAACTGACGCTCCATCTCTGCCCGATAGTAGGAAGGGTAGTA